AAAACTAATGATGTAATGTATGGTGATTAAGATAACATAATAATAAAATTAAATTAAATAAATAAAGCCTTAAATATAAGTCTGGACACCATAAAACTCTTAGAAGAAAACTTAAGCATTAAGCTCCTTGACATTGGTCTTGGCAGTATTTTTTTGGATCTGACTCAAAAGGCAATGGCAACAAAAGCAAAAAAAAGCAAACGGGACTACATGAAATGAAAAAGCTTCTGCATAGAAAAGGAAAACATCAACCAAATAAAAAGGCATCCTACTGAATGGAAGATGATATTTGCAAACCATATATTCATTAAGGGTTTTTATCTAAACTATATAAAGAATTCATATAGGTCAGTAACAAAACAACACAAAAAAATCTGATCTAAAAATAGGCAGAGGAAATGAATAGACATTTTCCCAGAGGGTACATCCATATGGCCAAAAGACATATGGAAAGATGCTCAAAACCACCAATCATCAGGGAAATGCAAATCAAAACCATAATGAGATATTACCTAACACCTGTCAGAATGACTATTATCAAAAGGACAAGAAATAACAAGTGTTGGCAGCAACGTGGAGAAAAGGGAACATTTGTGCACTGTTAGTAGGAGTATAAATTGGTGTAGCCACTATGGAAAACAGTATGGAAGTTCCTCAACAAATTAAAAATAGGACTACCATATGATACAGCAATTCCACTTCTGGGTATTTATCCAAAGAAAACAAACATTAACTCAAAAAGACATATGCCGCCCCCGCCCCAGTGTTCACTGCAGCATTAGCTACAAGAGCCAAGGTATAGAAACACTAGGTGTCTATCTATGGATAAATAAATAAAGAAGATACGACATATACATATTCCATTGTGCGCACACACACACACACACACATACAGGCACACACTGGAATACTAAAAAGCCATAAAAAAGAATAAAATCTTTCCATTTGCAACGACATGGATGGACCTTGAGGGCATTATGTTACATGAAATAAATCAGAGAGAAACAAATACCACTTGATCTCACTTATATGTGAAATCTAAAAAGCAAAACAAATGAACAAACAAAACAAAACTCATAGATACAGAGAATAGATTTGTGGTTTCCAGACGTAAGGAGAGAGGGGGTGTTGGGGAGAGATGGGTGAGGGGATCAAGAGGTACAAACTTCAGTGGCACCTGGCTGGCTCAGTTAAGTATCAGGTCACAATCTCTGGGTCCTGGGCGTCAGGCTCCCCACTCAGCAGGGAGTCTGTTTGTCCCTCTGCCCCTTCCCCCACTTTTTGTCTCTCTCTCTCTCTCAAAAAAATAAATAAAATCTTAGAAAAAAAAGAGGTACAAACTTCCAGTGATAAAATTAAAAAGTCATGGAGATGTAATGTGCAGCGTGGTGACCATAGTCAATATTGGTAAGTAGGTTTACTGTGGTGATCATTTCCCAATTGTGGAATCATTATGTTATATACCTGAAACTAACAAAATGTACATCAATTATACTTCAATAAAAAATAAATAAATAAAGGCCACCTTTGTCAGCCAACTTCCCTGTATAATAACTACAGCAATAAACATATAAGCTTCTCCTATTCCTATATCACGTTATATAAAGTAGAGAAAAATTTGCATTTCAGGTGGACGGCATCTTAACTAATCTGTTTGCCAGTGATTCCTCTGCAAACTTATTTACCTGCTGTAAGTATCATGACTTGTATGCCATGATATTATTCAGACATACCAGTCCTGCTTACGTTATTATCATCTAGTCTGAATTCTCCAGAATGGGTAAATAGAGAATATCAAGAAACTGTTTACAGGCTGCCGCAGGCTATTATCAGGGCGTATTAAACGGAGTGAAGTACACAGAGGAGAACGGATTCCATTTGGCACAAGTCTTTGGGGGTCTTTGCATTTGCCCTCTGAGTCTGTTTGTCAACTGGTTTTTTTTCTCCCCTTCCCTCCCTGCCTCCCCCCCGCCCCCACTCCTATCAGTTTTCAGGCAGTAAGGGTCAGGAAGCAGTCCCCACCATTGCCACCAACCATTTCCTCTTGTTTTGCTGGCTGGAAATGAACAGCTGCAGCTAGTCAGCAGGCTCGGTGGGGGGACGCAGAAAATGATCATCATTTAACCAGCAGGTACCCCTGAGTACCAGTTAGCATTCTGTGCCTCCTCGCCTGCCTCCTCTTCGGGAGGAGTGTTCCCAGCCAATTTTCCCTGGTTTTGTTTTTGGGGTTTTTTTTTTTTTTCTTTTGGATAGAATCAATTTTTGAAAACTTTACAGTATTTTGTTTAGTACACTTTCTATATAATCTTTAAATTACATACCTAAAATTGAGGTATACATTTCTTTTTTTATTTTTTTAAAGATTTTATTTATTTGTCAGAGAGAGAGAGCGCGCACAAGCAGGGGGAGCTGCAGGCAGAGAGAGAGGGAGAAGCAGGCTCTCCGCTGAGCAGGGAGCCTGATGAGGGGCTGGATCCCAGGGCCCTCGGATCATGACCTGAGCCGAAGGCAGACGCTTAACCGACTGAGCCACCCAGGCACCACATGAGGCATACATTTCTTCAAAAGTTTGAGGCCAACATTTAACCACCCCAATAAAATATTCTGTTTCTTTCACTGCTCAACACTAGCAGTGCTGGCTAGTTTAATAAAGAAAATAAAATCCAGAATATGAGATGGTTCATTTAGAGATGTTTCTGGTGAGAGAAAATATGGGCATTAAAAAAGAAAATATGTATGCATCAATACTGCCAATAAATGAAATATTATTGACAAATTTAAGGTAAAATGTTGTGAATACAGATTATATAGAGAAAAATATTTTTTAAACTGTCAAGTGATTCCATATTAAAAGACAAATAAGTCAAATTATCTCTTTGATAAAAAATTCTTTAAATTTCGGAGTGCCTGGATGGGTCAGTCAGTTCAGTGTTCGACTCTTGATTTCAGCTCACATCATGATCTCAGGGTCCTAGGATCAAACCCCGCTTTGGGCTCCGTGCTTAGCCCAGAATCTGTTTGGGATTCTCCCTCTCCCTCTGCCCCTCCCCCTGCTCGTGCTCTCTCTCTCTCTCTCTCTAAAATAAATAAATAAAATCTTTTAAAAATTTCTTGATATTTCTAAATTTTTACTTTTATGCATGATTAATATTTATTACATGTATTAAATGATCTCATTAATTTTAAATTATTAATTAAAATTAACATTATGATTAAATTTTCCAGAGATGGGTGGAGAGTGGGGGAGAGGCAAGCATATTACTGCTGTCAGGTTTCTTACCATATCCCAGTTGGGAGATGATAAAATCAAATTCCTCAATGCTGTGGATACTGGCTAGATCACCACCTTCCTTCCGACACGCAGTCAAGGCATGTCTTTGGATTTTCTTCTCCTCTCTGTGAATCTTGTAGCAGTGACCTGCATATGGCCACCACTGACTTGGACAGTTAGTAGGCACATCGCTTTCTAGAGAAAAAAGAGTTTGGAAAACATTTAAAAGGGAAGACTTTTTAAAATTAAAACAAAATTTTCTATCATTCAGGATACAAAACGATAGTTATAAGCATTTAAAGGTAATATTTATTTTTCCTTTCTGGCATATATATTCACAAAACATAAACGAGGTGGGGACATAAGGGCCACCAAGGAGCTACAGAAACCGGAATAGCATGAGCTGGCCACCTCTGGCTTGCTTCTGCAAGATGGCATATGATACTGTGGTGACTGCAGGGATTTAGAGCCAGAAGTCTTCTGAATTTGCCACAAGTTCCGTGGTCTTGGGCAAGTCACATCACAGGAACCAAAGTACCCATACATGTAAAAACATTTCAATAATATTGATAAATAATACTAATAGGAAGCTACCCATCCTCACTGTGTCCTTCTGAACTAGAAAACATTTGCGATAATGTTACTCTAAATTACAAACACCACACAATTATTATTTAAGTCAGTGAGTAATAGCGGCCAACATCCTAACTATGGCTACTAAGAGTTATGGTCCAATTTCATAAATCTTGATTTCATATTGCAAAAATGAACTGTAATAGTAATGAGCTGGGGAAAGGGAAGGGAAAGATGTTTGAAGGCAGAAACTCCCGTTATTCACCCCTGTATGTGCTAGAACTGGCATGGGGCCCGGCACGTGGCAGGTGTAATGAATGTCGGTCGAGAAAATACATTTGATATGCAGCAGCTTATCATTACCATTTACAGATACTCTTTCAAACTGCAATTTAGCAATGTACCTTCCTTAAAGGGACCATATTACCAAATGAATGTTAATTTATACATTTGTTTGGTAGTGAATGTTCTCAAATGTGCTGCTTAGCAAATGCTCAATACAGTAAATGTTTGTTATTCATTTAATGAATCCCTTAAAGCCATTTTTCCTTACAGACCAGGACTGCCTGCCACATCTTTGAGTCTAAGATTCTGTTTACAGTAGTCATGTAAGTAAACAGTCACCCATGATGACCAAACACTGCATTATTGTCACAGAAAAAATACGCATGCTTAAAAAATTCTAGCCCTTCAATACAATTTAGATATTTTATTACTGCCGTGTTAGGGAAAAAAAAAAAAAAGTTAGTATAGCTCTGGAGCCCTCTGGTGGGATATTTTGATTTTGCTACCCAGGACACTGAAAATAATGTCAGCAAATGCTGAGACCCTCAAAAACTGGACAGGTAACCTTTAAAAATATCTTAAAACATGAAGACAACCAAAGAAAAGGAGGTCCGTGGGGTAGCCAGAAAAGATTGCTTGCTCTAAAATATTATCATTTCAACATGTAATCAATAAAAAAGAAATGACGAGATATTTTACTCATTTGCTTGGGCAGTCTTGAAACTGCCATATGTAATATATACTTACAGCACATCTCAGGTCAAACTAGCCCCACTTCATGCTCTCAATAGCCACTTGTGGTTACGTGGCTACTGAAATGGACGGTGAGGTTCTAGAAACCTAGGAATTTTGATGAGTGAGGTAGCATTGCAGGGACCACCAGGGTAAAAGGTAGAACTCTTGCCCCAGGGGGTCACCAATCATGCGTGCTGCATAATTTTAACTCTCATTGGCTTTTCCAAGCTCTGGTTTGAGTTTATAGATAAGACAGAATGATTCATCCAGGAAATACAGAGAAATTCAAAACCCCATGTCAAGTGAAGGTTAGGAAGTAAACAAGGTGGGGCATAGTAGAGAAATTATGCTAATTTACTGAATGTATGAACAAATTTTCACAGGAAAAACAGGTATTAATATTTCCCTTTATAGATGAGGAACCCAAAACTGGGGGTTAAGTAACAGGGCCAAGTTCCAGAATTCTGCTTCCTGTACCAGGGAAGCTATTACAACAAACAAACAAACAAACAAACAAAACCATTCTCCTCTTCCCCTAAGTGGCAATTCCAAATCTTCTGAAGGAGAATTCCATGAGCTTTCCCAAGGAGAAAGAATTATACTATTTCTCTACGGGAGGAATAGAGGAGATGAAGTACAAAATGATTGAGGTCTCCTAGACACATGCTTACAGTCATAATGGTGCCTTTGTAAATATCATCGAACCCAAGAACCAGGACCCTCATCTGTACACATTGGAGATCTTGACTGTATCTGTCTCTATTAAAACTGCAAACACATCTACTCTTTGGTCTGGCAACTCCACTCCTAGGAATGATCACACGCATGAAATGACGTGTATAAAGTTATTCATGGTAGGATAATAATAAAAAATTGGAAGTAAATTGAATGTCCATTAATAGGTGACTGGTCAAAAAGTATACATGGTCTCTCTCTATAATGGCTATCATGTGGCCATAAAAATAAACCAAGAGGCTATTTATGTACAGTATGGAAAGATGTCCAAATTTTTTATCTGAAAAAAGTGAAGAAGATACATGTTGTATGCTGCCATTTGTATAAAACAGACAGAAATGATGATAAACATATTTGTTTATATATTTATAGAATAACCAGATAAGGATAAACACCCAGAAATAGTTATTTATCAGGGAGGAGAACTGGGTTTAGAGGTTAAGAAGTAGAAGGAAAATATTATTATTTTCTATCATTTTGTACCTTTTGAATTTCCAACCATGTCAATCATATTTTAAAGTCAATTTTACTGACTTTAAAAGTCAGGGAGAAAAGTCAAGAATGCTACACTGTCAGATTTCTCAAGCAGAATACATACCTACACACATACATCCCTTTAGAGTATTAAAACAGCTGATAGAGAAAAAAGTGTAGGTTGTTTGTTTTTTGTCAATTTGAAAAAAGGGGTGCATTCTTGTGTTAGTAACTTATTTCTTTTATAAAATTATGAGAGAGACCATAATTGAATTCTTTGCCCAGAGTCTAGCCTATATATAAAATTCAGTTAGTACTTTTTGGATGTTTTATCCCATTTCTGTGAAGACTTCCATTGAGGATGCTAAACTTATGGCACCAGAGCCCAGATGTATCCTTAAATAGCAAGAATATAATAAAAACATCCTTTGCAGGTATTTATTTCCTAGCTTGGATTCCAGTTTCATCACATGTGCAAGTTTTATATATCCTCTGAATTTCCTCTTCCTCATCGAGAATGCATGAATAATAATGCTTTGCTCATAGGGCTGCTATGAGGATAGAATTCTTATTTATCTTCTTCCAAAGGCTTTGAACGTGTCTGAACACTACGGCACACTCAGGAAATGTTAGTGACCATTACTAGTAGCCAACAAAAAGAAATTCCGTAGGAATATCATTAAGTTTACTCCATAAATTATCAACAAAACCTGTCATTTCACACAGTTATGCTAGGCTGCAATTTTCTTTTAATTATAATATCTTCTACACTTCAGATCAGATAGATCGCTTACCGGAGGGAATCACAAAAGAATTCAAAGTTGTGTTGCCCTTCTTACAAATATAGCCTAGTTTCTGAACACATTCCAGATTTTCCCATTTAGCATTTTTCCCAGGATTTAGTGACACACAGCTTTTTCCAGGTTCTGTTGATGGACTTCCTTTGGGGAAAAGGAAAAATCAAAGTGGGATTATTACAGGTATTACAAGCAGATAGTCCCCACAACCTCACGGCTTCATCCTTGGGATTTAATGAATCCCATTCTGTCTCTGGCTTCACATTCACCAATAAATCTTTACTGACTGCAGAGCAAAAGATGTGTTGGGCATCTATTTCTTTTCTTGTCTTTGGATCATTCCGAAGTCTAAAATGTTGATTATACAAGTTTACTTCTTTGAAATAACTTTTTTCACAATATCAACAATAAAGCTAGGCCTTATAATCTTGAAAAATCTTCACATTGGGTTTTGTTATGTATAACAAAATGCACAACACATGATGTTCCAAACCAGCCATATTAAGCACTGTAAATACCTACCAAAAAGCTAAGTAAGGCTAACCGTGTGGAGCAAACTAGAGAATTTCTGAACATGGGAAAACTTTCTCCAACTAAAGAGAGGAGACGGAAGAGGAAGACAGCAAAGAGGAGAAAGACAAGGAAGGGGAGCTTCAGAAGCAACATGACATGGGAAATGCTGATAAAGTCCACCCCAAAGTCAGACTTCCTCAAGATTTTCAACCCAGCCTACTGAAGATTTTTAAGTACTAACCCTTCATCCCATATCTTGCTGAAAATTGATAAAAGAACCAGATAAATTCAACTTTGGGAATGCAATGGATACATGGAAAACTAGCTCCATCTCTCACCTGAAGACAGGGTGATAAGCCACATTTTGTTAACAACTCTGTTTTGTGATCTCTGACATGTATATAACCTGGCCCTGGACCTCACTTTGCCTTCCTGCTAGATGGGAATCATATCACCTGCTCCATAAAGCTTTTGTCAACATTTTTTTAAAGTTGTGGAAGAGTACACAACGAAAAACATTGTTAGTGATAAGGACTTTAATATATCAATTAGTTGTCTTTAAATAGCTACCAAAGTTATTTGAATTCACACTTCTACAGCATTTGTGTAAAATATCCTCACTTCAAATGTGAATGTATTTTAATAGATGCATTACTTGGTAAGTACTCAGTTGAATGCTTAATCAAATGTTTCATGCAATAACAGCTTCTAATATTCCACAAGATTTCTGATTTTCATTTGAAGAAACTCTCATATTATTTCAGAAGTGATTTAACCTTGCACCTCTTACTTCTCAGCAATTTGGTTTAATAAGGGAGGACATTTCTTTTCCTTTCTCATCAATATTCCAATTTCATTCCTCACATTCACTGAAGTTAACCCCCCAGTTTTCTCACTGAACTCTTGGAATGCAAGTGATTAAATATTACAATAATTACTCCAAAATTGCATAATAAATAAAGTGACTTGCCAAACGTGCAATAATTCAGCAGCAAAGAATAAACTTTAGTTCCTTTAAAAAATGATCATTATTATCTAATGATCTGATGGAGTCCAACTGGCATTCTCCAATTCAATCTCACTGAGTGAGTAAGCAGACAAATCAAATCCTCACTCATGAGAAGGACATCTTATATTCTCTTGTAGTAATGTTTAGTTTCCATTTGGCAGAGGAAACCAGAGCTGATTCTAGTGACAGCCCTGTAACTATGCATTGAAGGAATGCAGTGGAAGTGGAATTTCATAGTAAAAGCACATCAATTTAAGCTAAAATATATCCTCTAAAGTTTCCCTCTTGTGTTTTAGCATCTATTCTGAATATTCTTGCTTGCTTGCTTCCTTCCTTTCTTTCTTTATCCTTTCTCTCTCTTTCTTATTTTCAAAGCTTTCATTTCTTTAAATACCATAAATTAGTAACATAGAAAAGAGTTTAATTTCCTAAGCCAAATGCAAAAATCATTCAGTGGCTTTTAAGAAGGAAGTCAGACCATATGAAGAAACACTACATCAGTATTTGCTCATAGCAGAACTAGTAAATGAAAATGTGACCCATCCTTTTCCATACCCATGCAGACATTAGTAATCAATAATTATGGTACTCTTTGCTAATAAACCAACATTAGTATGGGGTGGGTTGGAAATGGGGGTGGGGAGTTCTGAATCACACTCTATAGAGCGCCTCAAGCAGCTTCTAATCGTTGGCATTTGTGAATAAGGTAAAAGTTTTTTGTCATCATTGGTCTTTTTGTTTTCTCTGAATAACTGCTGTATATGTGAAACACATTTATTATTTAGCCTCCTTTATGTTCTGTTACCTGTATGCTATGACAATGTAGACATAATTAGTTCAGAGCATTTTCTATCCTCCAAAAAATTAGAAAGATGTTGAAGGCTTAATCATCCCCAACTGTATTTTTTAAAAATTAAACCACAAATTGCCAACAAAAGTGCTAATGAATTATGATGCTAGCATGGAATATTATCATTGGTATTTGAAATACTATTTTAATCCAACTATATTAGATTAACAACAGGAGAAAATGATGTTAAGGTCATTATAACAATGATAGAAATATCGCAAATATCTCAGGGCTCAAGATAATGAGAAACTGTCCAGCCCCAAATAATTCATATTCACTTAAATTCATAGTTTGTGTATGTGTAAATATAAATAAATATATATAAAATCTTTGAATATACTCTATAGCATTATACAGTATATATATCTCATAAGTATACATATTATGTATAAGCACTTTCAACTGGAACATTGTAAAATTCAAAAAATTGATTTTGAATATAATAGCTAGCAAATCAAGGGTACTCAGAGAATATGTACTTTAACAGAGTCCTGTATTGATTTGTGTGATAATCCTGCCGGACAAATCCCCAACCTGGGAAGCAGGTATAACCTTACGGTTTTAGTATATGCAAATCCAGTTGGCAGATTTCAAAGCAACGTGAGAAATGGACTATATTTGGTAAAGTCTCCCAATTCTTTTCTTTGAGCTCCCCATGCGAGATGATGAAGATCTTTATGGTATCCAGACAAATTAAAACTAGATGTATTTAGCCACAGACAAGCTGGACCCTACCTGGTAACCAGTTCAAATATCTGAATGGACTGCCACCACTCCATTGCCATCCACTGTTGAAACTCAGGCTGTTAAGACCAATCCAGAGTCCTGAGGTCAAGGAACTGGTTAATCCTATGGAACAAAAGCAAAAACAAACAAACAAAAAAAACAAAACTGACATTTGGAAAAGACAATAGAATCGCATTCAGAATTAAGTGGTTGGATCAAAATGTATAAGAGGGAAGTAATAAAAAAAACCATGCCTAACACTTCTTGGATTCTCTGGAGGTAAGTACAACTACTATCTCCATTGGCAGATAAAGAAACAGCGGTGAGAGTCTAAGTAAGATTCTTAGTAAGATCTAGTAAGATTCTTGCTAAGCTTCTAGCCCAGATATGACCAGGCTTCAACCCCATCATCTTGGAATATTCCTACTGGATGGTATCAGTGTGTTTTAATTTGGATAAGACTCTATCATCAAATAATATTTTTACTTACTTTTAGAGTACAAGAAGATTTTTTAAGATTTTATTTATTTGAGAGCGCACAAGTGAGCAGGGGGACGGGCAGAGAGAGAGGGACAAGCAGACTCCATGCTAAGCGCAGAGCCTGATGCCTGGCTCCATCGCGTGACCCTGAGACCATGACCTGAGCAGAAATCAAGAGTCAGACGCTTAACCAACTGAACCACCCAGGCACCCCTAGAGTACAAATAAGATTTATTATGGGGGCGCCTGGG